TTGGAGAGCTCATTCGATTCATGAAGATCTTTATCAAGTTTGACACATTTTGACTCAAGATTCTTCTCAGATTCGACAAGCTCTGGCCACTCTCCCTAAGGAAAATGCATTTGGTCAGGGAGAGATTTGTTCTCATCTTCTAGGCTACGTATTTGGGCCTTGGACTAGAACAAGTCTTCTTGAAGGTCTCTTGTCCCGTCTTCACCTGAGTTGACTTGATCACTCAAGTAGAGCACATTATCTTTTGGNACTAGAACAAGTCTTCTTGAAGGTCTCTTGTCCCGTCTTCACCTGAGTTGACTTGATCACTCAAGTAGAGCACATTATCTTTTGGCTTGAAAAATTGCAGAAACTATTGACCCCTTATACATCTCGAATATCCTCATAGTAACCTTCATCCTCCACACAAGTGGGGATTTCCTTGCCCTTGTCATGTACCTCCGTGGTAGGACTTGCTACAACTACATTCGTGGAAGTTTGTCTGTGGGGGAGAGGAAAGAGGTCCTCTAGTGGCCGTAAAGTTATATTCATCGTCTCGAGAAGAGAAGAGTCATCTCCCAAGGTCGACTTCCTTACACAATCGTGCNCGAATATCCTCATAGTAATCTTCATCCTCCACACAAGTGGGGATTTCCTTGCCCTCATGTACCTCCGTGGTAGGACTTGCTACAACTACATTCATGGAAGTTTCTCTGTGTGGGAGAGGAGAGAGGTCCTATAGTGGCCATAAAGTTATATTCGTCGTCTCGAGAAGAGAAGAGTCATCTCCCAAGGTCGACTTCCTTACACAATCGTGCCACTTGGCTTTCATAGCCCTCCAAATTTCACTGTGCAAACCACCCTTCTATTTATGTGTGCTTTCCGATAAAACGTATCCAAATCCTTGACATTCAAAGCATTGCAAACCTTGCCCATTTTTGTCAACTTCTTTTCGAGAGTCCCTTACCTTTATTTCTCTTCCTTCCGTAGGAGTGCTACGTCTACTAGGCATTCCTTTTGGCGCTGTGGACACAACATTACCAGTCCTGAAATATTTTTTGAACTTCTCTACCATCCCCGGTCCTCCTCGCAAAATCGATGTGACCCGGATTTACCTCCTCCATGATTATATGAGATCAAGGCCGTGCCCTTTGCTTACTTTAAGGATGGAAGGATCATCTCAGAGGTCAGGATACACACCACTAGGTCTTCTACCGACACCAAGTCTATGTTGACACTTGTCTCCAAGGATGAGACCTTTACACGAAAGCNGTCAGGGAGAGACTTGTTCTCATCTTCTAGGCTACGTATTTGGGCCTTGGACTAGAACAAGTCCTCTTGATGGTCTCTTGTCACTTCTTCACCTGAGTTGACTTGATCACTAAAGTAGAGCACCTTATCTTGTTGCTTGAATAATTGCACAAACTATTGACCCCATATACATCTCGAATATCCTCATAGTAATCTTCATCCTCCACACAAGTGGGGATTTCCTTGCCCTTGTCATGTACCTCCGTGGTAGGACTTGCTACAACTACATTCATGGAAGCTTCTCTGTGTGGAGAAGAGAAGAGTCATCTCCCAAGGTCGACTTCCTTACACAATCGTGCCACTTGGCTTTCATAGCCCTCCAAATTTCACTGTGCAAACCACCCTTCTATTTATGTGTGCTTTCCGATAAAACGTATCCAAATCCTTGACATTCAAAGCATTGCAAACCTTGCCCATTTTTGTCAACTTCTTTTCGAGAGTCCCTTACCTTTATTTCTCTTCCTTCCGTAGGAGTGCTACGTCTACTAGGCATTCCTTTTGGCGCTGTGGACACAACATTACCAGTCCTGAAATATTTTTTGAACTTCTCTACCATCCCCGGTCCTCCTCGCAAAATCGATGTGACCCGGATTTACCTCCTCCATGATTATATGAGATCAAGGCCGTGCCCTTTGCTTACTTTAAGGATGGAAGGATCATCTCAGAGGTCAGGATACACACCACTAGGTCTTCTACCGACACCAAGTCTATGTTGACACTTGTCTCCAAGGATGAGACCTTTACACGAAATCTCCCGGTTAGAGATATTAAGATTTTTAGCTTGATGGCCACATTGTCAACCATTGATACGTAATGCAAATAATTAAATTACAGTGTCATGTCATTTAGTAGGAAATTCACTAAATGTTTCATTATCTTGTATCCTCAAACTCTCATACTGAGAGGTCCACCTCTGGAGTCGAGGCATCTCCACCAAGGAAGTCCCTCCGTGGGAAACAACCAATTTCCCGCACGCCTCATTTGAAGTTTGACAATTAGCGATCCTTCGGAACGTATTTGGTGTCGCGGCATTGAATGTCGCATTGAAGCCTTTTGAGTTTCACGCCGTGGACTCATTCTCATTTCTAATCCATAGCTTCGACGATTTTAGTTCAACGATCACCTTCAACTTGTGTGGTGGTCGCGAAAGGCCTCCAACCCTCTTGGGGAGTCAACCACACTCTCTCATTAATCAATTTATGAAAATGCTGTCCAACCAGCTTTTCATTTTGCAAAGTTTGATCCATCGAAGAGTGGTGGTCGTCCAATTGAACCATTTTCCTTTTGTTAACCCATTCAAAACTATCTAGTAGTAATGAGAGCTTTCTCCACAATAACCCAGAGCGGGGTGAATTCATTTTTCAAGTTCAACCCAAATTGATTACGAATTAAAACCTATGTCGACCACAGTTACCCCTTTCTTACAAATATGACGCAATGAATGTGAGAAACTGTTCAGTCGCCGCAAACCCTTTGTACCATGAGAATTGATTTAAATTAATTTGCGATTAAATCACTCAGCTCACTCTCACGGCGATCACNTGAATGTGAGAAACTGTTCAGTCGCCGCAAACCCTTTGTACCATGACAATTGATTTAAATTAATTTGCGATTAAATCACTCAGCTCACTCACACGGCGATCACAACAAACCCATAAACCCAATTCTACACCTATTGTTGAAAGATTTTTGTACAATCAAATAAACAACCACACAGTTCGTGTGTGTGCTAACAATTGCAAGTGTGTACAATAGAAAGTAAAGACCACTAGCTATTTGTTCACGCGAAAAACCCCCTCTGAAAAATCCTCGAGGAACCCCCCTAGGTTCACCAAGGCAGAATCCAATACTTTCGATGTCGNCTAAAAAAATCTCGAGGAACCTCCCTAGGTTCACCAAGGCAGAATCCACTACTTTCGAAGTTGGCATGCAAGTACTCGAGAATTATACCTCAACCAATACCCTGGTCCGACGCCCTTGTCCCTACTATGTTTCACCGTGGAAAGTCCCTCTCTGATGTCTTGTGCAGCTTCACTTGAACCTCTTTGCCCCACGGTTCATCTCGGCCTCGAGCGATTATGGGCACCCCAACAATCCTCGCTAGGTACACACCGGTGATTTTGGTTTCATTAGCAACTTTCCTCTTTGAATTCCCACCCTTACCATTCTTAAAAACTTTTGAGCATGCGCCAACTTGTTGGGGTGATGGGTTGGGGATACACCTGACAAACACGGCCTTGGAAGAAGTGTGGGTGCGTTCTTTTGTGTTGCCCAAACCACGGTTGTCACCCATACGTATTCCATAGAAAACATCCTACGAAACGTCCCATTGGGTTGGGGATGTCTATTGGAGAGGTCATTCGATTCACAAAAGATCTTTATCAAGTTTGACACATTTTGACACAAGATTCTTCTNCTTTCGTCAATCGATTTATGAAAATGCTCTCCTACCAACTTTCCATTTTGCAAAGTTCGATCCATCGAAGAGTGCTGGTCGTCCAATTGAACCACTTTCCTTTTGAGAACCCATTCAAAACTAACTAGTAGTAATGATAGGTTTCTCCACAATTACCCAGATGGGGGTGAATTGATTTTTCAATTTCAGCCCAAATTGATTACGAATTAAAACCTATATCGACCATAATTAGCCCTTTCTTACAAATATGAAGCAGTGAATGTGAGAAACCTTTTAGTCACACCAAACCCTTTGTACCATGACGATTGATTTAAATTAATATGCAATTAATTCACTCAGCTCAATCTCACGGCGATCCCAACAAACCCATAAACCCAATTGCACAACCGTTCATCTCGCCCTAGGACCTCTTTGCCAGACGGTTCATCTCGCCCTCGTGCGATTATGAGCACCCCCAAGAATCCTTGCTAGGCACACACCTATGATTTTGGTTTCATGTGTAACTTTCTTCTTTGAATTGCCACCCTTACCATTCTTAAAAAAAATTGAGCATGTGCCAACTTGTCGGGGTGATGGGTTGGTGATGTAATTGAAAAACACGGCCATGGAAGAAGTGTGGGTGCGTTCATTTGTGTTGCCAAAACCACAATTTTATCCCACACGTATTGCCATAGAAAACATCCTACCAAACGTCTCATTGGGTTGGGTATGTCTATTGGAGATTTCATTCGATTCACAATGATCTTTATCATGTTTGACACATTTTGACTCAAAATTCTTCTAAGATTTGACAAGCTCTAGCCACTCTCTATAATGAAAACGCATTTGGTCAGGGAGAGACTTGTTCTCATCTTCTAAGCTACGTATTTGGGCCTTGGACTTGAACGAGTTCTCCTGAAGGCCTCTTGTCTCTTCTTCCCTTCAGTTGACTTGATCACTCAAGTAGNGCCTTGGACTTGAACGAGTTCTCCTGAAGGCCTCTTGTCTCTTCTTCCCTTCAGTTGACTTGATCACTCAAGTAGAGCACATTATCTGGTTGGTTGGAGAATTGCACAAACTATTGTCCATATACATCTCGAATATCCTCATATTAATCTTCATCGTCCACACACGTGGGGATTTCGTTGTGCTGGTCACGTACCTC